CATCAAGTTTCCTTAATGTAACGAAAACCGTTGACAACGTCCGATATTGAAAAAACCGAGCAGATACCCTTGTAAGGGTTTCTGCTCCGACACCGTCTCTGGATTAATCCAATCCGGACGTCCGGTAAACCGGACATCTGGAAGGGGTAACCCCAGGACAACAAAAACTGTCTAATTATAAAATTGCCTTAATATGTTGGATTGTGACTGTCTCATCTCAAATGCTCTCGTTGTCTGCAATACGGAAAAGACTGCTTTGATTCTGAATCTATTCATCTGGGTGCAATTGGGGCTATTGGGGGGGAATCTAACACACACACACACACACACACACACACACACACACACACACACACACACACACACACACACACNACACACACACACACACACACACACACACACACACACACACACACACACACACACACACACACACACACACACAACCAGTTTGGCTTGGCCCGCTGAAGCTAACCCAAGATTGCAAGTATAGGCCCTTCATGGCCGGTCCAGTTGGCCCAACGGTCCATCAAAAACTGCGCCAACAATTTTCGGGGGTCCACCAGGCACTAGAAAATTACCTGGGGACCCCATTTTTTTTTCTTCGAATTTTCTCAAAATGGGGTCCAACCGGACACCTCAAACCAGACAACGGATCCGGACATCCAGACCGGACCGTCTGGATTCCGATCCGGACGTCCGGTTGACAACCATGGGATAAATATTGTGAGTCTGCATTCAAGCAATTGAAGTACACGCTAACTTACTACCCTGTTTTGAAGATTGTTGACCCGCCAGTCCCTTTCATTGTGACAACTGATGTTAGTCAGTTTGGGATTGGGGATGTGCTACAACAGAATGATGAGAAGGGGTGTAGACCTATTATTAAGTTTATGTCTAAACGCCTTCCATCTGAGAAGGTAGTTAACACAACCTACGACAGGGAATTGTATGCCTTGGTTGAAGCGCTGGACGCGTGGAAACACTACTTGCTTGGAAGATATTTCACGGTCTACTCAGACCATTCGACCCTCAAATGGATGAAGCCCCAACCTCAACTTTCGTACAAGTTAATAAGATGGTTTGCATTCATCGACATGTTTGACTTTGAATTGAAAACCATTAAGGGTAAGTCTAACGTGGTTGCTGATGCTTTATCCCAGCGTTCTAATGTCTTTGGTACCATTGTTTCCTGCCTTGACATCGGGACAGAGTTAAAGGATGAAGTTCGACAAGGGTATGCTAGGGATCCTATATGGAGTTCTATCATCCAAACCTTACAAAAAAATCATGAACTCTTGCTTGAGTATAGAATGACTGATGGCTTGCTCGTCTTTACTGACAAAACCAAAGACAGAATCCTATGTGCGAACTTGTCTTGTTTGTCAAAGGAACAAACTCTCCCATGTGAATCCTTTGGGACTATTGTGACCACTACCTATGCCAAGTGAGTTAGGTGAGTCTATTTCAGTTGACTTTATGAGTCTCACAAAAAGTCGGAATGGGACAGTCAGGTAATGGTAATTTTCGACAGATTCTCTAAGTATGCGATGTTCGTTCCTTTACCACCCGAAGCTAGAACGAAACTCGTCATCCATAAGTTCCAGATGTGATGGGTTTTTTAGTATGGATTTTCAAAAACAATCGTCTCTGATTGGGATGTATAATTCATTGGCCAACAATGGCAGAAGTTGATGGAAGCATATCACACTCGATTGACCGTGGTGTCAGGTAGACACCCTGAAACGAATGGCCAAACTGAGCAAAAGTCGGAATGGGAACAATCAGGCTTATGGTCATTGTCGACAGATTCTTTAAGTATGCGATGCTTGTTCCTTTACCACCCGAAGCTAGAGCGAAACTCGTCATCCAGAAGTTCCAGATGTGATGGGTTTCTGAATATGGATTTTTGAAAGTCATCGTCTCTGATCGGGATGTACGATTCACAGGCCAATGGATGGAAGCATATGGCACTTGATTGACCATGTCGTTAGGTAGACACCCTGAACCGCATGGCCAAACTGAGCAAATGAACCGACTGTGCCAGCAACTTTTGCGAATGTATGTATGACCAGACCAGATTGATTGAGATGAGAATTTGGCAAAGATAGTGAGTGTGTACAACAACAGTGGTCACAAAGTAGTAGGTCGAACCCCTAATGCACTGCATAAAGGGTGGAAGCCGAGACGTCCCATTGATGCTTTGACCAGGGACCAAGTTCAAAGGTTACCATCGGGAACGTGATAATTTGCAATTCTGTATGAACAAGATATATAGAAAGTAAAGGAAAATATCCAGAAATCCCTACTACAGATGATTGAATAGGCTAATAAGCACCGTCAACCATCACAGTTCCAAGAAGGAGACCTAGTCTTGGTAAAGTCTAAAGAAATTTCCTTGGAAGAAAATGTATCACATAAATTGTTGCCTGTCTATTACGGACCCTGGGAAGTTCTCAACGTGATTGGGAACACAGATGGACCTTCCTATAGAATTGATGTACCCCCTCACCTCAAGACATATCCCGTCTTTCACGCTTCTAAACTGCTACCCCATGTCGATGGCCACGAGTTTCCAAACCGGACCTCCATGATTCCTCCCTCTATGAATGGAGGCTATGAAGTTGAACAAATCGTGGAACATGGATACTTCTCTACCGGTAGCAGAGGAAGACCGCAGAAGCAGTATAAGGTAAAGTTTAAATCACAACCTATAACAGAAGCACGATGGTTTTCCAAGAAAGAACTACCCACTGCACCTGATACTGTCGCTGCATATGAACGTGAGTTAAGAGAAAGAGCCTAAAATATTAGTTTCTGCGACGGAACTCGAAATCGGGCCTGATGGAATGCAATAACTCAACGTAAAATATGCAATAGTCTTGAGCCACACGTCGACACTTGGGTCTAAGGGCCGTAACAGGGGCCAAAGGCCACGCCCAAGTCATAGGGAATTGCCTGAGATGAGGCCTGCTGCTGTGGGTACTCGAACCACGGCCTAAATGGGGGTCTCAGAGGCCTTGCGTGTGATAGTTGATAGTGGAAAGTCAAAGGTCAACAGAAGCTCGGAAATTCGGGCTCACGAGTCAAAGTCAGCACGGTCCCATCCCAGGCCACAGACCAGACACACGTTTGGTGGTTTGAACTTTGCAGGTATCTGCCAAGGATTCAGTCCAAGTGGGAATCTGCAACTGTATGAATCCAGGCAGTCCACCGCGGGTCAATCTGGGCTGCCATATCCACGAGACCAGAGGCTGGTCAAGCCAAGTCAACACTATATGTTGACCCAGCCCTTGCTGACTGACATTCAGTCTTGCACTCGCTGCTCGAGGCTGGCTGGACACTGGCACAATGCTGGCTCAATGCTGGCTCTGCGCTGGCTTGACATTGATGGCGATGCGAGACTGCACAGCGTTTATTTGATTCTGGGGCCATCTCTATCTTGGGCGCCAGCTGGACCCGAGACTATGCTGATGTGGCGCTGGCCACACTGTCTGCTACCGAGACTACGCTGACGTGGCATTGGCCGTCTACAGCATTGGTTGGGGATTGGCGAGGAGGAGGATCAGGGCTGTGAGATTGGTTGCTCGAAGATAAGCTTACCTGTTTGATGACGTGTCAACATTGCGCGCCGCTGATCGTCTTCGCGAGGTATCTGCGCTGACAAGTGCTACATGAGATCGGCGCTGTGTCAGATTGAGTCAGAGGATACTGTTTGCTGATGTGGCGAGGGGAGATGCCCGAAGTCGAAGAGGGGAACTGAGGGAGCTATATCTGCTACGCTGATGGTGACTTTCTCTTCCACCCTCTCAGTCTCATCTCTCCCCCATCTTCTTCTTCTCCGGTGACAAGACATCGGGCTACTTGATGATGTATACGTTTGTTTGGAGACATTGAGACTGCGCTGAGACATTCTGTATTTTGACATTGGCGAGCTTCTCTCCTGACTGGGTTCATTGCAAAGGACCACAGAAACCCCCTCAATGAGCTTTGTGCCATCTGCAAAGAAGGGGCGAGGGAGACAATGGAACACTGCCTACTGGCCTGCAAGGGAGCTAAGGCAATCTGGCAGATAGCTAAGGAATGGTGGACGAAAATGTCAGACATCCACTTTCCAGAGGCGAAGCCAGTCATCCTAACAGGACGGGAAGCACCACCAAGTTGGTCAGTATTCGAGAAGAAATCCATCCACCACTTGAGGCAATATGCCTTATGGACTATATGGAAGAGGAGATGTCGGATCGCATAAATGGAAGACCAATGTCTATCCCAGAAGCGAAGGAGATCTACAAAAACCTAATAGAAACAGCCATAAGGGCCCAATGGAAAAGGGTAAGACTCAAGATGCTGTAGAATCCGGAGGGAGCCAAGGATATCCAAGATCACTTCGAACGCATGAGGTTAGGAAACGGGAATGGCCACCATAGAGGGAACACACTTAATGTTACAACTCTGAGCCTGGTAGGCCAACAGGAACTGGCGGTCAAAAAGGGGCACGCAGACTCCCCACCCTAAGCCCAGAGAGACTAGGAGTGGAGTTTAGGGTTTAAGAGGGATGCTGCACAACCGACTTTCAGCCAGATGGAAGAAAGCAAGGGAGTGTTCTTAAGAAAAAAAAAGTCAAGGGGTGCACCAATAGTCTGCAGACATGAGTGATAACACGAAAATACTGGCCCAATGATTGGGTGAAGAGGTAGAATTGCAGTTTCAGACCTCTGAAATTCTCAGACTTTATCAATGGACGTTCACAGGGACGCTGGACCAGTTTTCCAGCAGGTGAAGCTCCCCACTAATAGATGGAGCGGCCCTTTGCAGATTTACTAGGGGAGGCTGCTCATATCACCTCCCCTAGTAAGGATGTACAGGCCTTGTTTAATAAAAAAAAAGGAATAATCCACCTTGTTGTGTGCAAATTACAATAACATTTACTCTCTAAGGACTCTTCCCATGTTTGCACATTCCTGATATTCTGTTTTGTTGAACTCTGTGCTGTGCAGTTAGCCAGTTCACTCTTTATGGTTTTCTCAAGGGTCACCGACCAGATTTTCACTATGCTATGCACCCACAGAAAGCAAGGAACTTCTATGAGACCTTTGTAGAGACAGTGGGAAATGCTTACAACCACTTAATGGTGAAAGGTAAGCTGCTGTGACGTTCCTTCCTTCTGGGTTCCCCCCTCCTCCTCTCCCACTATCGCACCGGACAACCCTCCTTTCCTTCCTAGGTCAGCAAACAAAATGCTTGTGGTCGTCAATAACAGGCAACAAGATGGCAAAACAGTGACGCTGTCAACACCGTGTCCATCGAACAGCCACTTCTGAAATTTGAGTTTTTAAAATTGCAATGAGACCGGCAACCATGAGAAGCTTCCACAACACGATCATGCAAGTAGTCATAATGCACTCAAAATGGAACCAGTCACAATGCAGAATAAAGTCGTAAAGCCCTCAATGTAAGAAGCAGTGAGTCCAGAAGTGAGACAAAGGTAGAGAAGCAATGGAGAGAGAGGGAGGATAGTTTCACAGCTCTTCCTGAACCACTCACCTCAGGGATCTTCTTCCACCAGCTCGCCACCTCAGCGTGCAGTCTCCCTCCCTGAAGACACTAATGAAGCTGCTGTGCAGGTGCCAGATAGGTGTGCCAACCTCCAGCATCAGTGCCTGGCTATGGAGGTTGTGCCTACCTTCCTTCAGCCTCCTCATGTGATCCGCAGCTTCAGTACCACTGGACCCAACACGTAAGTCACCAGAGCCAACAGGTAAGTCAAGGCAAGCTTCTCTCTCTCTCTCTCTCTCTCTCTCTCTCTCTCTCTCTCTCTCTCTCTCTCTCTCTCTCTCTCTCTCTCTCTCTCTCTCTCTCTCTCNCTCTCTCTCTCTCTCTCTCTCTCTCTCTCTCTCTCTCTCTCTCTCTCTCTCTCTCTCTCTCTCTCTCTCTCTCTCTCTGTGGGCTGGATCTGCCTTCTTCCTCCTGACACCAGCCTCTCTCTACCTCTGTCAACAGCGCTTTAGCCATCAACACACACAAGGCAAAAGAAATGAGCCGCAGGGGCTGACTGCTCCTTCGCAGCACTGACTAGCCTTTGCCTGCCTCAGGTTGCCTCCTCCGACGCTGGAGATTTCTCAATCTGGGTGATCCAGATTTGCTGTCGGCTAATATGTACTTGGACCCAGTAGGCACTGTAAACTTCTGACAGCCTTTGATTGTGCAGCAAATTTGTGGTTGTGGTTGGCTCTTGAGAAATCTCTGACAGCCTTTGATTGTGCATCAAATTTGTGGTCGTGGTTGGCTCTTGAGAAATCTCTGACTCTTCACCTACTATTTCCGAGTTTGGGCCAACTCTGATTTTCCTGAAGTCAACTACCTCGCATGGGGTACTCGCAGCCTCATTTGACCCTGGACACAGTACGTGTTGGCCCTAGGACTTCTAAGATAAGAGAAGTGACTTTTGACCCCTGTATCTGAACTTGGACCAAATGTCACGACCCTAGCCTAGGACTGTGCCGATTTTGAACAAGTTTATTGCACGCCCACTGTCCCGATTTCGAGTTCCATGGAAGGAATTCATTCATTCTTTTTTTTGTAAAAACAATAAAAAGGGTGACGGCCTTGAGATCTCATCATTGAACCAACCGGTCCTAGATAATTCAGAATTGTAGTGTTTTTTTTTTGTTTTGTTTTGTTTTTAATAATAAAAAACAGAACCTTATGGTTCTGGCTCCTTATCCATTCTGGGGAGCATCAGCCCGGTTCCTATTCCAACGGCAAGTCCGAAGGAAATACAATAAAAACTCACTCACGCTCCTCCACCTTGTGGTATGAAGGCCCGAAGGACGACATTGATTACGTCCTGATGGAAGGATGTACCCCTACTACCCCTCTTCACCCCTGCCTAAGTTAGCCTGCTCTACCTTGCATCTATCCTTATACTAGCCTGATTGTCCATTCGCTTTGGTACTTGTAACCGGCCCCCTTTTGCTCCAACCGGCCTGTTCCTCTCAGCCCTTGGCTGTCAGATTTTCTACACTTGCTAGAACTGCTGGTGTGGTCCCTTGCCGTGGTTCTTGCTACAACCTTACTCTCTGTCTGACTTGGTTGTTAAGAACTTTGCTAAAGGCCTTTACCCATGTTTGGTTTTCCTTCCCTCTTCTCTACGTACTTTATGTTACCCTTGCTACTACCGTAAACCCTAGCAAACCTAGGACTGAATATATTGCTGCTTGCTGACCTCGATTCTTAAACCCTAAACCCTGGTAAGCCTTTAACTGCTGTCTCGATGTCGTCTGTTGATGAGAGAGGCTAAGGTTTTTATAAGTGAGGGGGGTCGAGCTGGGTGGGGTGTGTGAGCTGTTGGTGCTTTGTATTTGCTTATAGAAATGAATCCAAGTGCGTGGGGAAGGTCGTTGAGTGTCGAGATCTGAGGGCTGGAGGATGTAACAGTTGCATGCAGTGACTATTGGGGATATGCGTATGGTGGGCGGTGGATGGTTGGGTGTGGTTTGTCTGTGTTGGAGAGTGGGAAGTTGCTGGGTGAGAGGAAGGGTTGGGGTAATTTAAGAAAGGAAGGATTAACCAGTTCTCGAGGACTGGGCGGTTATTCTTGACTGTCCCTATAAGCCCTGTGCCTTGAAGCATGAAAAGTTACTGACAGCGAAAAGGAGAGCTCTGTAGGGAAGCCTTTGAAGTGAAGTGGCTGTTAGCTTAATAGTTCCCTTTTTTAAATCTCTGTTACCTATCCCTCTAGATGCTAATGACTCCACTGTGTGGATGACTATCCCTTATTTGTTGTTCTAGCTATTGGTCTCTTCTATTTTGTTTGTTCTTTTTCTAAGTTCGTGTTTTGCTTTAGGCCCATCATGGGCTTTCCCTAATGTTCTAGGTCCATAGGGGCGTTGTTGCCATCGTTTTTGCCTTCCCTAGCTGTCCCTTTTTTAGTCCAGTCTATGAAGTGCATGGTTTTGCCTGTGATTTTGGCTATTAGTCCATTTCTCAACTATTCTTCCTCAAATTCCTTCTGGATTTTGATTTTCCTTGTATTTTCTAACTCTTTATCTATCCTATTTTAAGGTTCTCTTCCATGCTACTCTGATTTCGGTTTCCATCAGGCCCTTTGCCTCTTCCCATGATTTGTTTGCTGGAATCGTTTATTTCCCTATGGTCCCTCCACATTTGGCTCTCCAAATGACCCACAGAGTTGTCTTCCTGAGCAGTTATAGTACCTGTTTGTTTTCATCTGTAACCGTGCCTTCACTGTTGACTGCTGTAAGGATTGAGAAGTGATCCTTCGGAAATTTCCCTTCTGAAAGATAGTGCCAAGCTTTTGCACATTTGGCCCAAAGGGCTTGTGCGTGCCGACATACTATTAAACAGTGGGTTAGGGTTTCTGGTTGGTTTTCCGTACACATTTTGCAACGAGAGGAGGATTCTGTTCTATCCCTCTCCTTATGTCGCTTGTCTAGCCGTGCATTAACTGGAACTGCTAGGTACATTATCAACCATTGCAGAATTATGAAACGGTATTCACCAGTTCGAAGTAGCTGATGTAGGACCCAGGGTTCGATCCCTAGTTCCCCAACTTACCTGTGTACAATATCTGTGACAACTTGAAGAATTGAACCTGCG